AGAACGTATGTTTGTGTTTAGTTTGTTGTCCTTCTCCCCACACCTCTGATTAGCACGGTTGGCTACATACGGTGCGAAAAAAGTTCTACATACCTGGAGGTATACGTACGCCTTGTGTTTATACAGTACATATGCACACAAAAAAATGGTGCACTTTTATTAATATTTATATAATGGTGTACAATTACAGGCTATTCAATCTAATATTGTTCAAAAAAATCCTCAACACTTTAGCTAGAATCCAAACTCATTTTCTGGAGTATCACCATCTAAAGTGGCTCTTTATTAGTTACATAGATTGTGAGGTGGAGCAGTGGTGCAGTGGTTTGCACACTTCACCAAAAAATCCAGCAACTTAAGTTGAATTCCCAGCCACAGCAAACATCAGTGGCGAGTTATATATTTCCCTGACCTGCAGTGGCAAGCTTGGTGAAGTATTGTCAAGCAAACCCCCATGACTGACTGGCACTGCACGGAGAGGCTTCATCTCACATTGACAAAGGGTTGTAAATTATATATTACTTGTATGTGTTTTTTTTACCTACGGTAAACATAAATGTATTGCCAAGAATCTCTAAATATATGAAAAATGTGGTAGTAATTAGGAGTATCAATGTTGAGAGCAACGCAATGCATGTACAGTAATGTTGTGCAAGAGGTACTGTTAACTTAATCAGTAAGTAAAACATATGATGACAACGTGTGAGATAAATGGAAAGAAGAGACAACGTGTGGGTGAGTTGTGAAATATTGTTTGGAACCGTTGTGGTTGTCTGGAAGATATGACATTCTGCGTAAGTATGAATTAATGGTAGTCACAGAATTCAAACTGAAATATACTGTATGTCTCTCACCTTGTGTTTTTATTAACATGTGAACGCAAGGGTCGTTTTTATATATGTACCACGTTTTGAAAAATAATACAGTAGGAAGCTTTTCACAAAAATATTTCACCCGAAGCATGCAGAGTGCTTAAAAAATGTGCTTATAATTGAATAGATTTATATTTTTAGGTTAAATCTCTTTGTTTATATTTTGCAATACTGGAATGCACGTCATTTCCGTAACAAAAATATTCAGCTCCATCCCACAACCCCAGCTTGAAGCCAAGGTAATACAATAGCTCCATTGAGCATAAGTGCTTTCCGTTTTGCCTTACAAAGTCCACTTTGGTGAGTTAGCTTCAACTGCAAGACGAAGACTAAATACTTAAATTGTCTTGCCAATGAAAACTGAGAAAGTAACTGGTGTCTTAGAGCGCAGCAGTGACTGCATATTGTAATATCAAGCCAAGAAATAAAGACAACCTATTTGTAAAAATAACTCTACAAAGTAAATTCATTTATTTGATGTGAAAGGGGTCTTTTTGAAATTATTTACTTAGCAGTAATTGCCACTTGCTCTAGGTTTACATTTAAACAGGCCCAGCATAACAAATAGTGAAACTTTTTTTTACTTCAGTCAACTGAACTTATAAATACTTTCAAATAGGTGAGTTGCTTTTATTTTACCAAAGGTTAGAGCCCAATGAGATAATTATTTTATTTTATCTTTTTTTAGTTTCAAGCAAGGCCACACAATGACTCATGTGGTGTCGTGTTGCTTTCTGGAATTGGGTGTTGTGCAAAGGATTAAATCCCATCCTTGATGGCTACACAGGGCTCTTAAAATAGAGACACTTTGCCGAACCGATATGTGATTGGCACTTAGTTTTAAGTGTGTGATTACTTAAAACATTCAGCGTTGTTGCCACCTGTTCTTCTCATGAGTTATTGGTCAGTATGACGTAGCCTGAACAATGGAAATGTTATACGGCCGTCAGCAGCTAGCTGCGCTGAACGTGTTTAGCTGGGCAAAGCTTGTTTACTCACATGTCCACCGTAACTGAGTAGACTAAACGTTTTGAGAATGTAACATTGAGAGTATACACGGACTTTTCACGCTGTTGAATGTAGAGCGTTTATTATCCATTACCCACCTCCCTGTGAATCCTGTTATTTTCAGCAGACCAGGGGAACAATTATTTTCACTGTTATCCAAGGATTCTCAGGAATTCACAGAACATTGTAATGACAAAGAACTGTCTTTTGGAATTGCAATTTTACATCTGTGCTTTGAGTTTCCGTGCAGCGGTGCGCACTGGGGCCTCTGTGTTTTAAATTAAATATATGATCCTTGAAACTATCGTGATTACAGCAGACATTAAAATCAGGATGATTTATACATTCGGCATTTTAAAATAAAGTGCGTCAAATCAGCTGTAATCGGGTGATGTCATTCAGTCATGCCATTCTACTCTCTTTGTCGCTTGTAAGTCCACAAGATACATTAGGTGAGCATTAGCCATTGCTTAGCAGAGGGATTTTACCGTGACCCTGTTAAGTGTTATGTTTATCGCAGACATAGCACCAGCGATAAAATCAATTAAATGCTGACGAGCTTTTTTTGCTGTGCATAGGCGATATTTCTCTGCAGGGAAGGCCCCCCACATATTTTAGAGGGAGAGATGAGGCAAATGTCAAAAGATATGTATCCAATCCACGCCACAATCTGAGTATATTAATGATGTATTGTACTTTCACCAGCGTTTTCACGTGTAATTGTATACAGTTTGCGTGTATGCTCACTATATCATTCACAAAATTAGGGTACTTTCTTTAAACAAATTTGAATATAAACTTTAATATTTTAAAAAAATTGAATAAATATACTGATAGCAAAACAACATACTGCAGCATGAATGCATTTTTGTTCATTTGACATTCATTTGGATCATATTCCAAAATGCTTCTGCTGTCAAAACCAATTGATAGTCATGAATAGAAACGGTATTTACTTTAAACATTCTTTAAAGTTGCCCGCACTTAATAAAATAACATCCTGTTACTAATGAACGTTGAAACACGCCGTAGACATGTTATTTATATATTTACATTTCCTAATGGCCAAACAGCCTAAGGGCACAGTATCAGGAAAAATGGATACATTCTGAATGTAGGTGGTGCACATGAATACATAGCATATGAGTTTGTAGATCTTGGCTCAGTCATACTTTCCGAATGTCGTTGTTTTTCTACTTTATCATTGTGACAGGTTTTTTTTGAAAAATATAAATGATGGGGGTGATTAACAATAAAAAAAATGTACAGAATGAACAGAAAACCCGAGTCCTGATTGCGAATAATTGTACTCGGTAAAAGTACAATTTGAATGTACTGCTTAACTCTGACCTCGAGCTTACCTAGAGCGTTGCAAAAACTTGGCATCTTCCCAAACATCCTTCTCTCTCTTATATTTAAACTTTCCAGCATATCCTATCAGCCAAATTGTAATATTCCTTGCCAGGTTTTGTGCCGAGATCCGTCTAATTGCCATGATTATTGCAACTAAATCTCTCTTCTATGATGTTTCCAAATTCCTCACTTGTAAAGTTCAAAACGATCAAAAATTTAGTAGCCTAACTTGTTGCCAACATCTACAGACAAGAAACCATTATCCCTGTTACCAGGCTACTCTAGTGGCTTTCAATCTAATCTCAGGTCACCCTCAATTGTCATCAAGATCCTCCATGGACTCTCACCCCTTCTGACCTCTTGCATTTCATCTCACGATAAGCCTCTCCACGTTCTTTCCACTTCAGCAACCAAGACCTTCTGTCAATCCCCCCCCCCGCTTCGGTTAATGTCTTCCCAACTGGAGGTCGTCCCATATTTTACAATACAACTTTAAGTGACTGCATTTCAAGTTTCTGTATAACATTCCAGCTCAAGCACCCACCTCCTGAATTTTGACATCAAGCTGGCAAAAATGCATCTGTACTCTATCAGAGTGTGTTTTTGTTTGCATTTTGACCACACATATTGTGGTTAATGCACACATGATTCCTTGTAAAAAGGTTTCCGTTTAGTTACGAGAAAAAAGGAGTAAAACCCTATTATTATATTTTGGTACTGGCAAAGGAGATCTAATGATGTAGATGCTTACCCCGAGCCCTCATTACTTTGATGGTGCATTGTCTTTGAGCTGTACGCCTTTTGGCGTCCTCTGGTCTAGCACCAATTGAGACGAAGCTCAAAAGAAAGCTGTCTCTGCTGTGGACCAATCAGTTTCATTTACAATGCATATATTATTAGGGTGTGTTTTTGTTTGCATTTGGACAACAAGTATTGTGGTCAATGCACTCATGATTCCTTGTAAAAATGTTTCAGTTTTGTTGCCAGAAAAAAGGGGAAAAACCCTATTATTATAGGAACAATGGGGTTAAGTTCCTGGTAGGAGTGAACATAGGGGTGACATGGTAAATGTTTAATAACAATGACGACAATAAATAAATAATACATTATAAAGAACAATGTTTTTATTATTACCTTTGATGATAATGAATTGACGATAGTGGAGGTGATGGTGAGGAATTCGGGAGAGGGACCCCTCGAGAGATGCAACGCGAGACACTTGCGAGCCATGATTGGGGGAAATGAAGCAAGTGTAGTACGCATAAAGTAAAAATGCACAATTGCAAGTTCACGTGAGCGGCAAGGTATGTTGCCTATTCGTGGTGCACGGGATTTGCTGTGAGACTGAGATCATAGCAGCCCAGGTGGCGTGTACCTGATCTTCGCAGGCAGTTTCAAATTAAAAACAAACATTCTGCACCCAGCTCCCACTGGTCTGGCGCTACATACACTCACGGATACTCGAGTCCGGCGGGTTGTGAATAGGGAATTAGTATACATTTGGTACCTCGCCGAATATATGTGAAACTCGCGAATAGCGAGGGTTTATATTGTATATATCGCATGAAGGAGACACGATGAAGCTTATTGATCTGCGTTCACTCCCACGTTCGTCCTTATCAATATAGCCAATTGGTAACGAATGCGAAATTGAAGCAGACATTGCGGTGTGATGAAACTGCCATGGGCACAATGTTTGGCAAGATGCATGTAAAAGCACGAAGCGTTTGTGTTTTGTTTATCCCTGTGCGCGCGACTGTGTTTCAGTCGTGTACTTCTGCTGCTCGGCGGCCGTGTTCAGGCAGACGATGGTGCAAGCGCACGCGGAGGGCATGACGGCCGGCGATTACGTCTTCTTCTACGTCGATCCGTTCAGCGAGTCTCTGAGCGAGAGCAATGTCTCAGAGTCACGCAAACCCTGGAAACGTGGCGATGAGTTTGACGAGCAGGCGAAGGAAGCCTACAAGGTACAACAACTGTTCACTCTGCCTACGGAGGTTACACACCGTTGGCTATCTAGAAGGTACACGCCGTTCACTCTCTACCAGGTACACACGGTTCGCTACCGTCAAAGTACATACTATTTACTCTCTACTAGGTACACACCATTCACTCTCTACCAGGTGCACACCGTTAACTACCTTCAAAGTACATACCATTCACTCTCTACCAGGTACATACCATTCACTCTCTACCAGGTACACACCGTTCGCTACCTACAAGGTACACACCATTCAATCTCTACCAGGTACACACCGTTCGCTACCTACAAGGTACATACCATTCAATCTCTACAATGTAAACACCATTAGCTACATACAAGGTACAAACTGTTCGCTACCTACGATGGAATCTCTGACTTATACAGCATTTGTTTTCAGTGGCAACGCGAGATTTAAAAGCAAAACGTGTTTGTTCCACAGGCTGTTATGATCATTTCTTATCGTGAACCTCAGAACATCGAATACAAAGACTTTGTTGTAAAGTTAAAGGAACGGGCTAAGGAGCAGTTCAATTTCACGATTGAAGACACGCTGGTGAGTATGCGTGACCCCGTGTGTACCAAATATAAAGTGTTAACTGGCAATAATATCGAAGATGAAAACAGCAAACATTTCACTTCAATGAATGTGCAGCTTTGGATGGTGTATGTTTGTATATTGTTGGATGAAGGTATCTTAGCGGTTGTGAGATTTTATGAATGTTGATTAGACGATTCACACAGAAATATAGCAACGTGCTTCAAGAAGAGCGTTTTCAGTTAGGCCATGGTACCTGCTATGACATGAATTGGAAACGTGGAGGCAGAGAGATGCATCCTAGGAATTGCACCGAGAGACAGGCGGGCCCCCATGGATCAGAGAACAAATGAACCTTAGATACATCATGTTGACTGTTAAGAAAAGTAAGCGTACTTGGGCAGGACACATCGCTAGAAGGGAAGATAAGAGATAAGACTGGTGATGGAATAACAGCTAAAGGAGTAAAGCATGGCTGAGAGGGGGGAAGGGGCAATGATAACTCATGTGCACTAGCGAGATGGATTGTGGCCCGTCAGGATCATGAGGGATGGGGATGTAATGTGGATTCGATCCCTTTATCAAGCAGTAGATAGATCATTGCTGATAATACTTGTAATTATTATATAATATAAATGTCTGGATCGACTGGCACCTTAATATTATAGCTGTCATTTTGTGGAACAAGGTGTTGCAGTGGAAATCAATCACATATATGGGGCTGCTCGGTTATTGGAATTTTAAGCAGTATTTCTGGAAGCATCCATCATGAATATGTAAAACACAGTTATGATTGTAAATATGACAAATAATTGTATAGTTTATTCATAATGACATCACACTTCATCGTGACTCTTCCAGCATTATGCATCTGTGTGTGCTCACATGTTCGAGTGTGAATGTGCTCAAATCACATTGGTTGCTTCGGCACCGTGTTTGTAAAAACATTCAAAGGAATGCCAATTACAGAACGCGACGGCCTTTTTGCTGAGATTTTTGATAATGCTGATGTGTATAAACCGAAAGAGAGCTAAACAGTTTTTTTTTAATTCATATGGATGTGGTTCAACACATTATTCTTTGTGTTCAAATGCAAACAGATGAATTTAATAGCGGGCTCCTTTTACGACGCCATCATGATGTACACGGCAGCGCTGAACAAGACGCTGTCTTCGGGAGGTGGCGTGCACGATGGTCACGCAATTACCGAGCACATGTGGAACAGGACGTATCGTGGTAATTAAACGCAAGTTTATTCAGTCCCATTATAAATTTAGATCAAGTTTCATAGCTCTGGGTGAGTGAAGCTGTACTGGAATGAATACTGGTATTCACGTATTCTCAGGAAATGCTGCCCATTTGTGTACACATGTAGTTCTGGGCTGACTGCATAGAACTCTTTCAGCACTTGTGTGAAATAAATGTAATTGCAATGAAAGCCACAACGTTTAGAATTTCGAATTTATTAACCTTTTTTTTGCGACACACTAGAATGTACTGAGTTTCAGAGCCACAGATAAAATATGGCCGACGTAATCATTTCACTTCACGTTTTAAAGAGTTTATACCAATCTCCGTTTTGATAAATGTGAAGGTACAACAACAAAATATGGTTTCATCTGCTTTGGGTGGTGAAATGTGTTACAGCCTAAGAAGGAAAAAGAGGATTTTCAGATAAAGATACCATAACTCATTAATTCAGATGTGCAAGACCTAAATTAAATGTTTTTAACAATGATCCATTTTTTTCTAGGTGTGACTGGAGAGTTCACCATAGACCGAAACGGTGACAGGGAAACTGATTTTTCTCTTTGGGATCTGACAGACATGAACACTGGGGAGTTTAATGTAAGTTTTATTTTAAAAATGTCTCCATTTTTTTTTGTTTGGCCGTGTCGGGTGGTGGAGGGTTACGACACATTTATAAATAACGCGATCTAACCCAAAAACCTTTATTATGAATAACATTGGTCGCGAAAGCCTACGTGTTAAATGTAACCAGTCTGTTGCTTGAAGTTCAAATAACCTGACTATCCAACTTTATTTTGTGTGTTCGTTACATTTTTTAGAAACGACAAATACATGTATTGCATTGAGAAGCAACAAACTTAATCTTAATGCTCTATTTTAAAATGTCTTTAATTAATAGTATTTGTTTATATTACTTGTTACTGGAGAAAGGATGAAGTTAAACCCGTAGTAAAACATGCAAAAAGATATTCCATGCTTGAGGCAAAGTATAAATGATAGTTAAATAATAAGACTTAAAATACTGGGTATCCATATCGCATCATGCATAATTAAATATTCATAATTACACACCAGTTCTAGCTGTGTTGTTAAACCTAGACATTTGGTGATATGACGGTGTTCCTCCATATGTCTGCCTGTGACATTAGCGACACTCATCGCAATCAAGAATTTCCCAGAGTCCCCAAGTGTTATTATTTTATTATTTTAAGCGTGATTGTTACGAACGTTTCCGTTCATGTTTTTGCACATAACTCAAGCATGCATTCAGATCTTTTGGTGTGCACTCCATCCTTCACATAACCCAAACATACAATCGTGCAGTTCACACTGCGCTTTTATAATTCTTTAATAATGAATGAAACATTTACGGACAGCCTGTTCAGTATTATTTGTCATACATGTTTCTTTGCAGGTAGTTATCAGCTACGATGGGGCATCCGGTAAGCTTATCGAGGTCCCAGGCCTGGAGATTCAGTGGCCTGGGGGATCCATCCCCAAAGACGTCCCACTGTGTGGATTTGAGAATGAGGCCTGCATCTCCGGTGTGAACACAACTCGCAAATATTGAAGACAGCACGATAGAGAGCCAAACATATTTGTCTGGCCAGCAGTGATTGTGCTCAGTGTGTGTGATTCGTGTTATTTATTTAGGCACTTTTATCCTGGCTGGCTCCTGTCCTGGACCCACTCTTTACCCTTGCTTTTTTTTCGTTTGCCTCCACGCCAACGTTTCGTAGTGTCTTGTGATGCGTTAGCATTTATATAATTGAAACTCCACACGCGCATTTAAATTATTATTATATACTTAAATATGAACTAGCATAGCTGTTATTATGGTACATTCTAATCTGGAGGAGCTGTATATATAGATTTGTTGTACAGTATTTGACAATAAGTATCATATGGCTCAGTGTACCATATTTTATCACACTTTGTTTCCGCTACATATCATAATCATAGTAGTAGGTTTTTACCATTTAAACTAGTACAAAACTGACACCTTTATACAAGGCATCATGCTTGCAATAACCGTAACACAAGCAGTCAAAATGCAAACAAAAAGAAACAACTCTGATGATGATAATGATATGCACTGTCCTTGAAGTTGATTGGTCCACACCCGAGACAGCTTTCCTTAGAGCCTAGTCTCCATTGGTCAACTTCAAGGACAGTGCATATCATTACCATTATCAGAGTTGTTTATTTTTGTTTGCATTTTGACTGCTTGTGTTGCGGTTATTGCAAACATGATGCCTTGTATAAAGGTGTCAGTTTTTGTACCAGTTGAAAGGGTAAAAACCTATCACTATATTTTGACACTGGTAAAGGAGGTCTCATAGTGTAAATCATAATCGTACTCGGGCAGAATCGTGTTTATCTCGATATTAAATGTAGTTTGACTGAAGTATGGAAAACAACTAATGTCTCGTGTTTTTTACCTTAACCAGGTGGATTTTCAACCATGGAGGTTTTAATGATTGTCTTCAGCCTCATACTGCTGGTAGTTGCAGTAGCGTCCTTTCTCATATACAGGTTAGCAGCACATGCAAACATTGATTATGCTAAAACAGCTTATTAACATATTAGCACGTTTATTGCAACATTACAAAGCTGTGTGGTTGTGCATCTGTTTGCACACAACACGGTGGCACAGCGTACTGATACACATTCCTGAGCATGTGAATATCTCTTGTTTTCGTTTAACTTAAAAGGCTTCGCTTGCATGTCCACTGCTCTGCTTGGTAGCGAGCAGCAAACATTCATGAAAACAAAATCTGTCCACCCACCAGATATGAGGTGGCTTGAGAACAGAGTGGTTAGCACACTTGTCACCAAGCCAGTTTTCTTTGCGTGAGTATTTCCATTCTGGCAGGCATCTGGTAATTTCTGCTGGATTAAGAATTTAGTAAAGTTGGCCATTAAATACCCTGGAAGTAATTTACAAAAGTAGTCCCAGATTTCTAGACGAAAGCTCAACCTTCAAAGATACATGTAACATAATTGTAACATTTATGATTAAAATGTATGTTTATTTGTATATTTTCTGGAAGAAAAAAAAACATGCCAGAGCAAGAATGGTTCACCTCCCCTGGCGATTAAATGCAAATTATGTGATTCACTGTCACAATTCATGAGAATAATTCTTATTTATATATTTATACAAACCAGCTAAAAGTAACATTCCTCCCAGTATAGCAAGAGTACGAAGCGAAGAAGATATATACGAATGTTGCCCTCGTGACATGTGCAGGTCATGAGCAGGAAAATCAGGCTGTATGTATGTTGAACTTTTTTTACACCGTACTTAGTCAACCGTGCTACTTGGAGGCTGTGTCTGATCGTCACCCAGTGTCAGGGGAAGATACATGGGAAGCAATTATCATGGTGGGGGAAGGTCTAACTTGGGTGCACTTAGATGCAACGTGCCTATTATCACCCCCACCCCGCACATCATACGTACAATATCGAACTTGATTGTGTAACTGTTTTAGGGGATTCTAGGGAAGGCCAGTTGAGCCGGTTACAAAACCATCTCGATCTTGTTCGTAATGTTGTGGGGGTTGGGGTGAGGGTAGGGAGTGAGGAGAGGGATTAGGAGCTGGGAATATATATTTTTTAACCCTTTGGTAAATGGTAGCACTCCACTTCTTTCACATGTGATTCAATGAATGTATCATGAGTTTAAAAATAGATAAACCTCTATTTTTCAGTAAGCTGTTCCCTTTTTTGGGTAAAGATCATTGAAACGACGAATTAATATAATGTCAACAATATTGAGTGTTTTAAAAATATAGTTCCGTGCTATAAATCAAAACTAAATACAATGGATAATCATGAACGGCCTTTGTTAAATCACTGTTGGATGATGACCGTTCCATGCCATCCTGATCATCAGAGTTGCTTGACCGTAACATCACCATGCCGGTCAGTGCTTGTTGGTGAAGTGGGCTACTCAAGGCCATTCTCATAGCACTCACCGCTGATGTTAGTCGCGGCCATGAATCAAAATCAAGTCGCCGGGTTAATAGCAAAGTGCGTTAGCTACTGCCTGCTAGAAAAAAAAATGGGAACGATTATTTATTTATTTTTAAACAAAACAACGTATGGCTGCTGAGCTGTTAAACCTTCACCATCACCAGATTACAGCGTGATGTAATGCAATCAATTTTCTCACAATATGACAATCAATACTTGATGACATTCGTATATTTTATGGTTTTAATGTACATTTTAGCATTCCCTAGAATAATGTGTTGAAGAGAGTTGTATTTGTTTGATCCTCTTGAGCGACAATCGGCCGATTAACACAATGGTTGTGTCGCCAGTTCCTGTGCCTTTTCCACGTTCACCAGTGTGAATGCACGTGCTGCTGGTATCAACACATGGTGCCTTTCAGGCTTCAGCTGTTAACGTGGCCATTTCTTTGCCATAGTTAACCATGATTTTCCATGCCATAGCTAAATTTACTTTACGCAAAGAATTTAAGAGAAAAAACAAGCCAGGGCCTCGTCTAAAAGTTGCACACAGCTTGTTTTCATATGTATAATGGACACATATAAAGTTTCTAGCCTAAAATTTCAATGCCACTTTATTTTCATGTATATTTGATAACATTGCTTTTAGAAAGGGTGAAACAAAATTATATTAGCCAATGTTTTTTTCAGTAATTCATATCGTGGCCTAATTTCTCTGCCAGTTGGCTGGCATCAACCTCATTTCCATGGGCATGGTTTGTTCTTAAACGTGTGCCATTGCACCTGGTTTGAAAAATTAAGGACACCACCATCACCAAGTCAGCTATGATACATATGCATTCAGTGTAGAGGTATTTCTGGGTCATGGCAAAAACTGTGCTTCTGTTTGCTTGCATTCACATGTGTTCCACTTAGGAAGTGATGGAAGTTTAGGTTGGACCTTACAATGCCGCACTTTTCTTTTTGGCTATGCAGCCGGTGGAGTTCATTTGCTGACGTCCCCCCCCCCCCCCCCCCCATCTGTAAACCCCCAGCGCATTGTGCAGGGCATTGCCTGACAAGTGCTGTCATGAAGAGAAGCAGGCTCATGTGTAACACAAAAATATGCCGGCTCAGCTTCTCTGGCGTTGAGCCTCTCACTTTTGTTCAGCCACAATCATGCGTTCATGAAAGTAAAGATCTGTGTGGACCTGTGTGTGAGTGATGCAGGAAGCTTAAGTTGGAAAAGGAGCTGGCCAGCATGCTGTGGCGACTGCGCTGGGAGAACATCCAGGTCAGCAGCCTGGAGAAAGCGCGGCGCAGTGCCGGCAGCAAGCTTACCCTTTCCATGGTACTCGGATGCAAAAACACCGGCTTTACGACACTCCCACTTATATTCTTTAGTCCCCTGTCCAATAATGGCGGGGATTTGGGTCAGTGTACATTGTGTGTTGTTTGCCAATAAAAAGCAGTTCAACAAAAAAAAAACTATAATAGAGGGTTGTTTTGGGTTAGATCGTGTAAATATAAACATGTTGTTAAATCCGCCACCACCCGGCACAGCCGATTAGTAAGATTTGTCACATAAACAAAACATGCCAATTCGTTACTAGTTCAGCACACTGGTTTGTTAGAGAGTAAACCCATAACATTTACAATTCGAGTACGATGCTTCACCAGTAATTATAAAAAATTAAAATGTACTATTTTAATTGTTTTAGTGATTTGCTTACCTTTCCTATACTTTGCACTCATTTTGTCTTTTCGTATTGTTTGTTGTTTTAACTTTCTGATCCGCCCCTATTGGACATATGTGAAAAAGAGTTTTTTGTACATTTACATTTATGCGATCTAACGCAAAAAAAACCCTATTGTGGAAAATATTGGTCGCAAAGCCGACGTGTTAAACCAAAGCAAATGACATCAATCGTCTTTCCACATTAAATTGAGTTTTGATATGAATGTGTAAAGGTTCAGCAAACCATAGAGAGATACCTTAAATGTTTTGTTTACAAATCTGACCTTATGAAGGTCAAGAGGTTATTGTGGCTAGTGTTGCTGATTCAACCACGACCTGCCTTCACTTCCTTCTGTTGAATCCTGCAAGCTGATGCAACACTGGACCTCCCAAGGTCTGGTGTATTACAGTATCCCATCCTCTGGCTTTAGGTCTTGTCTTTTATTGCCAATCTATAGGTGCCAATGTAATTCCTGTCTGCACACATGACCCACCCATCACCACTGCTTCTGCCTGATTACATCTACTACACTGTTTGGCATGAACTTTCAAATTGCGTTCCTTATCCTGCTGTGCAGTTACTAGCATGGTCAGCATGCACTTGTATTTTAAAGTCAGAAGTTTGTTTTGAAGGCGCTTTGTTAAAGTCAAGATTTCTATCCGATTCAGCAACAAAAAAATAGTCATTAAAACCCTGCTCTGCTAACAAGAGTATTCATCTCATACTCTCCACTAGATATAGGGTAAAAGTTACATTTCACTATCCACACCCTTGATATTACCCTTGATATGTATTTAGAAACATGTGTTTCGATTATTTGATTGTTAAAAGTGTTCACATGATAAGCCATTTCGTTGAGCGATCATTTGTGGCCATGTTGCTTCTAAAAAATAAGCTAATAGCTCAGTGGGCTTTAACTGGTAAAATAAAACGTTGTTTAGTTATTTACTTACCTTTCCTATACTTTGTACTGCGAGTGTGTTTTTCTATTGTTGTTGTAACTTCCTGACCCGCCCCTACTGGACATGTGAAAAAGAGCTTCATAGCTCATTGCATTCTTAGAGTATGAATAAAGATCATAAATAAAGAAACAAAACATCTGATTTGCAAATAATGGGAATACTTTTTAATCAGTCTCATCCTGTAGGTGTCAGGACTCGCGTGTAAGAGGGCTGTGGATAAAACGAATTTCACTGAACTGACTTTATTTGAGGAGACAGTTGGTGGAGGAGAGAGCAGTGGCAGTGCAGTTTCTAGCAAGGTACAGGCAAAGGAAGAATGGAAATGGAAGACCAGATTGCCACTCAGGATGATCATAACCACAGGCGGCAGAGTGAAATTGTTTTTGGCATGGAGGGGGGTAGCAGGACCTGTGCTGTCACACTGCAAGCTGTGATGTTTGTGCTAAAGGTGACATGGTTACAGTGGTTGATACAAGTGTAATGCTTTCGCCTCCGTATGATTATATAAATTGCCATGATTCAGTATCGCGATTTCATTCAATATTCAATTACTATTTTGTCTTGTTTTTTTCATCTCACTTGTATCTTTTTTCATTTGTTCTGTATTACAGTCCAGTTGCCTTTTCTCCATTTTTACTATATGTGAACACATGTCATTTTCACATAAAGCATAAAGTTGTAGTTCTTACACACATCAATTGATATATTAGCTTGCATAGACAATTTTTTAAATCGATTAATCGTGACGTGCCTTACTGGTGGCTCATTAAATTATCAATGCCCTGCTCGTTGATTATATACTCTTATTTTAGGAAAGGCATTGCTTAGGCTAACACATTTTCCGAGGGCCAATTTAATAAACCCTTTTTTGCTGACGTCGGTGGAGAATGCCTCAGCGATAATGATAGCTATTTTAAACTGCGGTATTTTTTTTTACTTGCGGGAAGGAGAGAGTTTATTGTACGGAAAAGAGATCATAATTTGATTTTGTTTTAGAATTCACCAGATCCTTATGTGTGGCATGAGCTGCTGTGCAAACAGGAGGGGGGGAGCGGTTATAGTAGAGGGGGGGGAGATGGTGGAGGATTTATGTACGTGTATGTGCGCATGCATATTTATGCATGCGCGTGTGTATTTCATTGTAGAACAATGGGTAATGTTTTGATTTAAAGCTTTCGTGACTGCAGGGATTCATATTCTTGGTTCTTTCGGTAATGTCACGTGACTTTACCGAAAGAACCAAGAATATAAATGGGTAATGTATTTATGTGCGTGCGGTATTGTGTTTGCACATGTGTGTTAGGCATTTACGGATACATTGTGACCGAGTTAATTTATGTGTTGAAGAAATGTGTGCATATTTTAGGAACTGCGGCTTGCACAGTTGTCTTGTTCATTTGCGGTATGTATCTGCGTGTTCATATTGCACATGTATAAGTGTAGTTTGTGTATGCATGGCGATACAGTATGTGTGTACGATAATGATAATTCTGTGCATGTATTTATTTTTATCCAAGTCGTATAATTAGTGTATGTCCGTAGTGAACTGTAATTGCGGGAACAAAGGTTTTAATGATATGTGTATACATGCATCTTGTACTGTTATGCATGTTACGTATTGCAGTATTCCCTCGTTATTCGCGAGGGTTACATTCCGGAGATGATCGTGAATAGAAAATTTCGCGGAGAATTATATTGGCCTATGAAACGTCAAGCACGTATATACAAGGTTCACTCGCAGTTTCGCAGAGAATATTCACGAGCTAACAATTACAAATGTTGTACACGTTAGTTCGAATTATATATTTAAATAATTAGAGACTATTTTAGTGCGTGTGGGAAATCATTCCAAGTTGAATCCGCTCAGTTTGAATGAGAGCATGCGCCTGTCCATGTTTTTACTCTAGGGATATTTGAACTGTTATGATAATAGGATAGAAGAGTATAATAGCTGTTGGAGTAAAATGATAGTTTTGAGTTAAGAGAGGACATTTACTTGTATACTTTGGTATTTGACGTGTATGCATTATGTGTATATAATATGTTTGAACCAAAACAACCATTGTGTACTGTAGCACGAGGGTTATTATAGTCTAAAAAGGGGTTTGCCTTTTGGGGTGGTACTCATTCAGTCATGAGTACATTTGGTATTTGTGCCATTCCTGTAGAGCAAGGTTAGCATAAGGAGCTATATAGTTCAAAGACGAATATAGTCTGCCATTCGTCTCACAGTAGAGGGTGATGTTGCTTTGTGGCTTTAGCCAATTAGGTAATTTGCAAGTAGCCATTAAAGTCAAATAATGCCACGGGATCTTTAACATTCACTGTGAAGCAGACGGTACGTATATTTTGTTAATGCACCTGCGGTATTTAACAGGGTGGCCGCTGGGGTCGAACCACGAAATGTAGCAAATAGCAGCGTGCATATGTGCTGTATCTCAAGCCATGTCACCCCATGTCCTGTTTACGACCCTAAGCCAGTGATGGGAATTCCATACGCCTTTGGGAAGGGTACATCTATTCACTGCTTGTGAAAATGATCTTGCTCTTGATTTTTTTAATTGTAGTTTTATTGAGATACTGATGTGCATTTGGATGCAGTGGAACTGATGCAATCTGCATTTGATTTAGATCTGGTTTCGATTAATCCATCCAAACGCTAATATAGTTAAGAGGGGTTTAGAGTTCATATTGACTAGATCATATCCCAAACTGATTGCATTTGAGTGCCAAAAGAATCTGACTTGATCATTTGACTGAACTTATAAATAATGTTTTATTACAGCATACAATTGCACCGATCAACGTTAAAAGGTAATTAAGTTTTAGTATAAAATACTAATATTTATTGACAATTTAAAGGTCAATCAACACTTCAGCAAGCTGTAGTTTGGAAGGGCTGTTCCACCATTGACCACACACATGGTATCAATCAAAGCCTAGAAAAGACAAATGGATTTGAACGATTATGAAAAGGCGTTTGAGTGAGTGAAAACTGAAGTAGCTTCAACCAAGCTTTTACAAATGAAGGCACAAATAACAAACGTACAGACATCATTACTATTTACAAAGAAACAACAGCAATATTGAAGTTGCACGAGGAGAGCAGTAAATATAATCAGAAGAGCAGTTGTGAAAGGAGATATGCTTATACAATGGTAAATCACAGCGGCAGAAAATATCTTCTGAAGGCTAGATTGAAGATGTAAAGGCTTTAACATGAATTTAGACGTATTAGCCATCTCAGAATTGCTGATGACAGTTATTTTATCAAGCACTGAAATTAATAAAAAATTATGAAATAATGTCACAGAGAAGGCTGTAAATATTGATTTAGGATATATAAGTAAAATATAAATAATTTACCAGTTTGCTTAAAATGAAATAATCACTGAAGGGAAGCAACTGGAAAACTCAGCAGAATATGTTTAGCTCGAGCAGCTATTGAAAGTAATTCGAGATATTGGGATCCAAACGATGGAATACAGAACAGTAGCGGGATGGAGTGCATTTGGAGAGTTGAATATCATAATGAAGAATAACGTTTTGAATCAGTGCATACATCTAGCTATGACATGGAAAACACAGACACTAACAAAGATTATGGAACAAAAGCTGGGATGTGCCAACAGAAGTATGGACAGAGACAT